GTTTGTGGGCACACGTGTCATTGCCCAGCCTTGCCTCCCTCGTGACCCCTTCCTCACCAGCAGCCCCCTGGAGGAGAGTTGCCCCCGAGTGTGGCCCACGTAGAGCAGTGCAACCAAGGACATGGCAGCCAGGCAGTGTAGACAAGACTCTGCCCTCATGCCCCATCACGCATAGTTGATGCTGCGGGCCATGGACAGAGGACGTGGCTGCCATGGCGCTGTTTGGCTGCCTAGATGATTTGCAGCGGGCCCTGGAAGTGGTGAGTGGCCCTGCAGGCAGGTGGGGTGGGGATGGAGCAGGGGCGGGGCAGGGGGGTGGAGTGGGGGCGGGGCCAGTTTTGGGGCACTCGGTCTCTAAAAGGTTCGCCATCACTGGTTTCAGAAGTTGACTGTAAGAATATGCAGATTCCCCCTTATAAAATTAATAAAAGGAACGCTGTTACTCATTTGAATTGTTATTTCTGGATATAATGCCTGAAAACTAATCACATTTATCTCTCTAGTGTATTTTTACTACATGAAAAAAAAATCCTGTCTTAAGCTTGGAATTAACTGAAATTCAGATCATGTATGTATATTTAAAATGACATGAAGGGACTTCTCTTTGTGCAAGGCACTATTATCATGCTCATGCCTCCCTCTTCACCTCACCCCACATATGCATCTTTCCAGAGCAGATTTGAGAACTTGAAGAAAGAAGAGAAACCTGTTTACTCAAACAGATTCTATTCCACTCTTGGAATTGGGCCATCCAGATATACCATTGATGCAGCCCCTGCAAGGATAGCAATTTGGACAGAAACACTTTTTATTAAATCTGTTGCAATGGTAGCAATCTGGGTGCTCTTAGACCAGTTCTGCATACACAATTAAATACAATTAAGCATGAGCCTGTTTGATCTCTTGATAGTTTTTCATTTCATACACCTTAGCTTTAAGGCTGAATGATGTAATGCTATTTTGTTTTAATGCTAGGTACTATAATTGTGCCATTTAAAAAAAACCTGTGATTTTACTTGTTACGGCATTAAAATTGTAATGCAGTCCAAAAGTTAATGCTTGCTTTGTTAATTCCCTACAGCTGATATAATTGTGTGTTAACCACAACAATGGTTGTAGTGCATAATGATGTCACACAAGAAATACTGCCTGGTTTTGGATGCATACTCACTTATCTGATCAGCATAGCAGCCTTGAAGCTTTTGTAAAAATGAATTATTTTTCTGTGAATACATTCAGTGACTACATTTAAGAATTTGGCCTCTATAAAATGAACTATTAAAATATTGTTTATGTTGTTTTATTGTTTCTACATTCAGCATAGGTCACATATCTTGGAGTCTGATTTAGTTGCTTTTGATTTTCAAATCTTGGGAGATAATTTATTTACAGCATTTGTATTCTGCCTATGAAAACGGTCATAGACTCATAGCATATATAGATGTAAAAGGAGTAAAGTATGCTTTTAGAATTTCCTGTCCATCATTCACATGGAATAGTTGGAATCTGAAGCTTGGTTGATTATATAAATCAATGGTTCTCAACCTGTGGGTCGGGACCCCATTTGGGGTCGAACGACCATTTCACGGGGGTCGCCAAACAACGCAGTCCGCCATTTTTTTCCCCTTTTCCTTAGCTGTGCTACTCCCTTTTATTTTATTGGCTTTTGAAAGCCAATAGAATAGACTCACTTGAATAGAGTCTAATTCTATTGGCTTTCAAAAGCCAATAGGAATTGTCCAGGCTGTCTCTGCCCTGCTGAGCTCACCAAAAGTCCCATTCTGCAAACGGTGCTGCACCAGTTGAGTAGTCCTCGACTTACGACCGGTTGAGTAGTCCTCAACTTACGACCGGTTGGGGGGTCGCGGCATTAAAAAGGTTGAGAACCACTGATATAAATGGTAAATCAGTAAACCTCTCGTTTATTTTCACCAAGTTTCTTTAGATGTGTAAGATTTTTATAAAATAGAACTAAACTGGCAAAGTAAAACCAGTGGCTAATATTTTCCTATACAAAAGATTCAATAATAGTCTTCATATGAATTGCCAGGTAGGTTGGTTGTGAAAACAATGCTTAACCTATTCATGGGAATATCTGAAGTGAAATCCCCACTTAGGCATGAAGTTTGGTGGTCAATTTTGGACCAGTTGCTAACACAGAAACTAAACTACTTAGTATAAAAACCATGTTTACTGTCCTGAAAGGAAGTGATAAAAATAAAGGAACGTCAAGAATCTCTGTGGTCCATTTTCTTAATATAGACCTATATTTTTCTCCTCATTAGGTTGTGAAATGCTTCATTAGAGAGATATGGAGAACAAAGTTAATAGTGCAAACCTAAATATAAAAATTTACTCCTAGAAAAATATATAGGACTGTCTTCCTAATCCTGTCTATAAATTTTATACATTCTTCCTAGTATTTTTGGTTTCAAGACATTTGGAGGATATGAAGAGTAACAATTTTAGCATAGGTTGGTGTAGGTTTTACAAATGTGATCATATAAAACAAAATTCTTCATTAAAACACAATTCTTATGGCGACTTTAGCAAATTTAGTTAAAGTATAAACATCCAAATTCTGAAAATTAAAGATTTTAATGAGAAAAATACCTTAGAACAATGAAAAATCTGAAAGCTTCCCATTCGACAATTGCAAGAAGGGAAAGTTTCAAATAAGTTCAGCATAGGTATGTATTATACATATATAAAATGTATTTTGTATATAAAAGTGAGACTGCATTTATTCCATCATTCTCATTTACACATATACAGACGAAGTTGCCCCAATACACCAATTTAGTATTTAGGTTTAATATTTTGTGTTCCCAGTTTGTACTCTTAACTCCTGAAGGTGACTTATAATTTTCAGTATCTGCATTGGCACCTAGTCAAAAGCCAGAAACCGTATTTAAGACTGAGTTTTCCAGATATTATCTCAAGTAATTTAAAAGTTCATTACGGCCTGTTACAATCAAGGTCTGTGAGCAGAGTTCAGTGGCTACAACTAAGGCATTAAAAAGAGATTGGGTAGGGTTAATACTTGACATTCAGAGTTAAAGACCAGGAGCAAATTGTTTTAACAAATTAAAAATACATTTGGCTGTTACTATATATGGTCTAAAATGTTTTTTAATATTAAAAAGTTGAATGAAACTATTTTTAGTAAAGAGCAAGTCTCAAATGATGGATGATGTTTATATAAACTGAAGGCTAACTCTGATTTTATGGTTACTGCCCTTAAATCCACTGAGATAAAGAAGGTAATGAGAACTTTTCAGTAGAAAAATTTATAAATAGAGATTGGATTTAATTTTGAAACTTATTTTCAAAGCTAGCGTTCATAGCTACTTTAGGTAAATAAGATTTTGCTGTTATTCTAGAATTGTAAAGTCTAATAATACGTACATGGCTTCAGTATTATAATCTTCATAATATAGACTTATCTTAATAATCCCCTTTTAGAGCAGGATCTCAAATAGGAACATCTGTAGGTAAAGTCAAAATTTGGAAGAGAAATGCTGTATCCGCATCTTTTGATGCCTCACCCACCTGATTGTGTTGCGAACAGCCAGTATCCAATCATCACGAATGCCATTTGAAGACTACATTATTAGCTGCTAGACCCAAAGCAGTCATATGTATCCCTTTTCATAAACAGTTGCAAGAAACTGAAAAGTTTGCCATTAAAATGAATTATTAAATTAAAAAAAGTCTTTACTGTGAAACAAAGCAAGTTTTTTGCCATCTCACTTATTCCACTTATGTTCCAGTAATGGTTATCCCATGACCCTTTGGTTTACTCTTAATTTCAAAGTTGGCTGGGTGGCAGATAGCTTCTGGGGAGAGATTGGGATAGGTGGGAGGGCAGCAAAGCTGTTAACAGTGTAGAATAAACTGCACTGTAAATGGGGGCCTATGTGGGACCTTGTGAATTATTGTAAATATCAATGTTGCTAGACAAGTGATTTATTTTGAAGCACACCAGCTTACTTTTTAAGGAACGAAATTTTAAGCAAACAAGTTAAAGAAAGGTTGACCGGAGAATCAGAAGGTCATGATAGGGCTTACAGGAGTTGTCTGACTGGTACATCATATTAAATCTTCTATTTGTGTATTATTTCTTAATGTATTACCTTCTATTAATCATCACAGCTACTATATGCCAATAACCAGCTGCCACTTCCATAATATGGGAATACTCTGACTCCTTGAGAAGATGCTTCCTGGCTTTGAAGAACAGATCTAAAATGAGGAGCTTGACTTGAAACGATTGGCAGAAGCTGATGTTAACTGTATCTCATGTGTGCTTTGCTTCTTTCAAAGGGCTGCATTTATTTTCTACTGATTTTTTTTATTTGAAGAACTCAGTGAAAAATGCTTGATTACAGCTAGTCCTCAATTTATGACCACAAAATTTCTGTTGTTGAGTGAGACATTTGTCAAGTGAGTTTTTCCCCATTTTACAGCCTTTCTTGCTACATAGTTCTTAAGTGAATCGCTGCTGTTGATAAGTTAGTAACCTGGTTGTTAAGTGAATCTGGCTTCCCCATTGACTTTGCTTGTCAAAAGGTTGCAAAAGGTGATCGTATGACCTTGGGACCCAGCAATGGTCATAAGTACGACTCAGTAGCCAAGGATCTGAATTTTGGACACATGATCAAGGAGATGCTACAAGGGTCATAATGTGAAAAATGGTCATGCCACTTTTTTCAATACTTTGAACAGTCACTAAATGAACTGTTGTAAGTCGAGGACTACCTGTATTTAGAATTATTTCCATTTTTCCCAAGTTAAAACTATAATAAAGTCCCTGTTTTACATATGCTTTAGTAAAAGGGTGATCCTCTCTTATATCAAACTCCCTTTGGTTTATTGCTAGATTTATGTTGCAACAGATCTTTGGCTACTTTTTAGAGACAACAGTTTGATTCTTGCCAATAATGTGTAGAGACATGTACTTGCCTCAGCTAACTTTTTTTTCTTTGTGTATTTGGCAGATTATTTCTTAACGCTGGATGAGCCAATGAACAATATCACCACTACTCTGGGTCAGACTGCAGAACTGCATTGTAGGGTTTCTGGTAATCCTTCTCCGACGGTGCGTTGGTTGAAAAACGATGCTCCTGTTGTGCAGGAACCCAGGAGGATATCCTTTCGTGCCACAAGTTATGGGTCCCGATTACGAATAAGAAACCTTGATACCACAGACACTGGTTACTTTCAGTGTGTGGCGACAAATGGCAGGAAAACAGTCTCTACAACTGGGGTGTTATTTGTGAAATTTGGTAAGAAGCTGCCGTACTATGCAGGAAAAGATTGATTTTAACACACACTGCCCAGCTCTGTAGATGTTAAGGTCATTTTTGGTTGAGAAAGGGGAGTAGGTCAGAGATTTTTCCGTCCCATCTTAACCAAAGTAGACTTTCTTTTGAACATAACAAACCAGTTCTTTGTTCAAATAGCTAATTTTCAGATAACAGCTTTAGCCAAACATTTTAACGCTCCCATTTGCAATATAAATATGTTCTAATATGAAATGAATAATCATTTTTAAATAATCAGTAAGGGAAGCAGGGGCAGGTTTACTACGAAGGGCCAAAGTTAACATTATGGAATATATTTAACTGAACGGAAAACAAAGTGCTTTTTTAAAAAAAAAAATCCTGTTAAAATGGAAGTATATTCATTGAGAAAGGTTGATTTCCTGCTTGGATTTTTATAAATGTTTGTTTGCATAATGGAAAGCTTAAAAATCTTGCTTTTGTGATTCTTCATAACTCCAGTCTCCTATAATTTAATATTTTAAATAACAAAAACATGTGCCTTCCACGGAAAAACTAAAGCAAGGAAATAGATATTAAAGCCAAAGTAAATTATAATGTGGAAAACAAGGACCCTTTCCGCAAATATTGACACCTAGTGAGCTGGGGAATGCAAGCCTTCTCCATAGCTGCTCTGGCCCTTTGGAATAGCTTCCCACATAAGATCCAGAGATGGGCTAGATAGCCTTTTAGTGTTCCAGAAAGCTGTAAAGACCTGACTTTTTCATCAAGCTTTGGCCTAGGATAGTGGGTTAACATTATGTGTTGTTCTGGTGTCCTGATGGGGAGGTCATGATGTGTTTTTATATTGTGTTCTTAATTTGGTTGCTATGAACTGCCCAGGATGTACTTCAATAAGTTCTTTAAATAAATAAAAAAAAATCTTGACCATATTATCTCTTAAGGTAGAGCCTTGTTTAAAATCATTGTTTTCGTTTTAGAACTTTAGATAATAAGACAACATAGCAGCTGATGGAAGTGAGTTTTCTTTTTTTATGACAATGCATCTTACACATTGTTGTTTTTTTTTCTTCCAAATCTTACTTCTCCAGGTCCTCCTCCAACAGCAAGCCCAGGAACATCGTGAGTTTGTTAATAATTATATTACCTAATTAATACTGTACTTTAAATCAATATTTTAAAACTATAATTGTTGAAAAATTATAAATGGTATTCTAAATTAGAACTATTATGTGAATTGAATGTGATACAGTTTCATTTCCTTTTATGAATTCTGTATTGTAGGAACCAGGTATTTATTTATTTATTTTAAAAAAAAGTAAAGATGCACATAGATTTCATCATCTCTCCTTAGCTCAGTGGTTCTCAACCTGTGGGTCGGGACCCCATTTGGGGTCGAACGACCATTTCACGGGGGTCGCCAAACAGGGCTGTCCGCCATTTTTTTCCCTTTTCTTTGGCCACGCCCCTGGCACCCAGTGATGTATAAATGGTTGGGGGTCACCACAACATGGGGAACTGTATTATGGGGTCGTGGCATTAGAAAGGTTGAGAACCACTGCCTTAGCTGAACCAGGCAGCTTCTTCATTTCCATAAGTCCTCGTCCATCCTAAATGCTGGCCTCTAAAGTATTAAAAAGTTAGCAGACAGGAGACCTGAGAGTTTGGTCTCTATCAACTATCTGTAAATTGAGGTCAGCTCTCCAATCTGAATGTCTGGCAGAGAGTGTCTCCAATCACTTCCATATGCTGCCTTCACTTTATGAGCTACATAAGTATAAATAAGTGAACCCTACTTCTATCACACAGAACTTGATCAGAAGTGATTGAAGGTTTTGTCCTCAAACAGGGTAGGCAAAGCAAAGATCGTGCCTCAAATTCCCAGTGAGGTTAGGCTGGCTGACAAAGTGCTACTCTGAATGGTTTGGAGATCCCTCTGCTGGATATAAAGCTAACATATTAAATAATTGGGTTAGGTATATTGACTGATTTGTAGTTCAAGGTGTCAAACTTACAAAACAAGATTTTTACACACACACATACACACACACACACACTGCTCATGAAGAATGAAAAACTTTCTAGGAAGATTTTCCCCCCCCTCCCCCAATCATACTCTTGGTTTGTAGTTCATATTTATATTTATTTTGGACCAGTAAGAAAAAAAATTAGCTTCAGAGGGCTAAGTCTTTTTACTGTTAAAAAGAAACTCATTCTTGAAGAAATTAATTTCAAAGGGAGATTTCTAACATGATAATTGTTTTTTCTCAGTATGGATTTCATTCTACTAAAGGTGTTAATTAATTCAGCAACAACAGGATGTTTGTGTTATCAGCAACACTGGTGTGTTATTAGTCATTTACAATTTAATTTAATTAGCGCAATCTATACTTTTGTGCTTTGCCACCTTCTCATCTTGCTATTTTTGTTCTTCCAAACATATATGTTTGTGTGTGTGTATGTGTATGTGCGGTTGTGCATGTGCATGCTCATAAATTCATGTAAAGTCTAACAAAGCAAAGATTTCTGTAAAATATGATATATCTCTTAATATATCAAATATTGTAATAATGCGACACATAACTATTATTATAAACTAAAATAGATATAATTTTGTATCAGTGGAGTCATCTTTTGCATATCTTATAATTTGTTTCTCCAGTGTTTTAGTTGATCTTGTCTAAACATTTTATTAATACTGAAGCCAATAGAAGAGGTCAGGAAATGAACTAATTGTATTAAATTATATATTAAATATTACCTATATTTAGATAGTACAGCTACACAGAGCTGGGAGAAAATAGATCAGACTATTTTAGCATACAAAAAACAGAAATGGAGTGGGGAGGGTAGTTATCAGATTGTGTGTCAGATCATTAATATATGGTCTCCTTTCCATTAGTAACATGAACTCTTTTTTTTTTCATAGGTATTTTTTATTTATTTTTATTCTATAAAATAGCTGCCAATCTCACCTAGGCAATTCTGGGTGTGAACACTGTTAAAAACATAAAAATTAAAAGAAAATAAGGATGTATACTTATAAGAACAAAAATAGCGTTTTCTTACAGTTCAAAGGCTTTACTCTTCTGAATGCATTTTGCTGTAGTATCCCTGCCATAGCACACTTTCCTGATTGTACTTTCATTTTTTGATGCACTTAACATTTGAATATTTATTTATAACATGAGGGAAATTGGGCAATTAGAATGGCTTATATAGGATTGGTTGAAATTTAGGATTACTCCGTAAATTTTCCAGACTAATTCTGTATTTCTTTACTACAAAGCAGTAGGTATCTCCTTTTGCATTTTCTAAACATACTTTCTGAAGTAAGAAAGAAATGACTGAAGTCTTTTTGGGATTTCTTCAACACGATAAAATCTTCTTCAGTAGTAATCCATTATTTGGTATCTGTTGGAATCTGAGATAATTTCCATGTTCCATTGACCAGCCTACTGACCTCAGAATTGTTACTTTCTTAATTTTAATCTACTCTGCTGCTGCCATGACAGACCAGCAGTCAGAGGGGAGATAGAACAGTTTGCTGCAGGCACGGCAGAATAGATTCCTAAAGATAAGAGGAATTCATAGAACGGGAGAAAATATTTTTATCCTGGGAAAATGTTGAAGTGTTAGCCCTTTCCATCATGATGTCATTTTCCCCCCCATTTCTGCACATCTTATATCATTAGCCCAGATTTCGTGGTGCATTTACATCAGTATAAATTAATTGCTGAAAGTTCTGAAGGAGTTCTCACTGAAGTAGCTGAGAGCAAAACACAACTCCACACAATCATCTGGGCATTAAACTAAGTGTGAAGCACATTTTGCCTTTTAATGCAAACTTGTTTTTGTTGTGTCCTGTTCTATAATGCTCCATTTCTCCTCCTTGTATAAAAATTATTGAAAGCATTTCTTTTTTTTAAAAAAAAAAACCTCCTCCCATACTTCTGTAAAGTTGAAAGCAGGCATTCTATTTGATCTTGTATTAACATAGATAATTTAGTGCAGGATTTTGAAGTATGATAATTAAAAATCTGAACTTTGCATAAGGTAATCTCTAGCTGAGATTTCAGTTGGTGTTTTTAGACAGAATTCCATTTTCAGCTTTATGGCTCAGTATTGGAACACAGGAAGACTTCAAAGGATGGAGAGAATGGGGCCATGCCCATAGCCCTTGTCCCATTTGTCTCTAACCTCCATGCTTTCAGACAGGAAATTTGAAGAAGAATGATATCATATGTTCTGTGCTCAAAGAAAGCAGGATACCCTTTGTCCTGTTTGAAATGCTTTCTATAACTAGCATGAAATGGTCTTGGACCCTAAAACCAACCCAAAATGTAGAGCCTCGGTATGGTTATTTTGATTTTTCCTATGTGATTGTTGATTATTTATTTACTTGTCTGTTTATTAAGTTTACACGCCGCCCATCTCACTATCAAGTGGCTCTGGGCAGCTTATGGTTCCATAAATAACATATTAAATAACAATTCAAAGGTTAAGAATATTAAAATATTACGCACTGAAAGTAAAACATTAAAATTAATAACACAGCAGATAAAAGAACCAATACATAGTTGGGGTGGAGATGGGATCTTCTCCTAATCTACTAGCCACCTCCAAAATGAGAGGGTCCCAAGCCAGAGACATATTTTCAGGCCCTTTTCAAAGTCCAAGAGGGTGGGGGCAGGACTCATCTTGAGATGCACAATATTCCAGATACCATGTTTTAGGATCTTGTGCAAGTCCAAAGCCTCTTATCGGTGCCAAAATGCCTTCTTAGTAGAATTCACCATAATAAGCATGCATTATCACTGGCTACTTTTACCTTACAAAATTCCTTTATCAGAAGAACTCCTTATGAATGAAAGTTTTTTTTTCAAACTTTGTGAGCTCTTTGAAAGTATAACCTTAATAATGTTGTGTAGCTTATATTGTTTTAGGTGATTTTAAATCAAATTGCATTTAGAAACAGTCAAATTGATAAATATTTAAAAAAAAACACAGTCCAAGTAGAGACAAGGCACAAAAAGGCAAAGTTTGCTTCTTCTTCTTCTTCTTGTGCCATATCCATTATCGGACGTTGGCGATCATGTTGGTGATCCTGTTTTTATCAGCAGCCGCACGAAAAAGTGCTGCTGAGTTTTGTCCAAACCAGTCCCTTAGATTTTGAAGCCATTATGTTCTTCTTCTGCCTGGACCTTGTTTGCCTTCAATCTTACCCTGGAGGATTAAATGGAGTATGCCGTATTTTTCTGGGTGTCGCGTCACATGTCCAAAATATTCTAATTTTCGTTTTCTAATTGTTTTGATGATTTCCCTTGGCTTTCCCAGGCAGCTTATCACCTCCTCATTTCTGATCTTGTCAACCCAGCTTATACATAACAGCCGCCTGTAAATCCACATTTCAAATGCTTCTAGTCTCTTCAGGTAGAAAAAATATAGCTTGCTTAGAGTTCCAAAATGTTGTATATTTAAGTTATTCTCTTTAATCCAGCAGCACGACTGTACATATAAAGCATTTTTAAAAAATTGAAATCTACCAATTATGTGCTGTTTTATAGGGAGGGGAAAAGAAATCTGGATTTAATCTGCATTTTCAAGACTACTAATGTGGCCTAACTGCCACTTGCCAAAAATATCAACCTACATAAATCCTGTCTCCTTTTTTTTTTTTTTTTGAATTCATAATTAGAATCATTTAAATGTTTTTTTAAAGCTGCGAGTGCTTTCTAAATATTCTCCAGTGGATCAGAAATGATAGAAAATTCAGTGATCCAAAACTTCTATGAGCTATTTGTATCCAAGTGTGAATTAAATGGGAAATACCTATTGAAAAGCAAGTTGCTTGGGGAATGGGAATTTGGCTTGCACCTGTTATGACTAATTTCCTCCATAAAATAGTTAGGTTTTACAGCAGCTACTTTGCAAACAAAATAGAATTGTTCATGCATTCTAGAAGCCATGGGTTTTGAGAGCATCTGTAGAGATCTAATCATAAGACTTAATAATTTATTTTTATCTTCAAGTGTAAAATACAAAAATTACCGTAAATGCCGGCGTACAAGGCGACCCGGCGTATAAGACGACCCCCGTCTTTATAGCCGGGCCGCATTCCT